GGGGGGGTACCATATATATATATGTACATGCATATATCATATGTTCATATTTGTACATGTATGTATGTATCTATGTATCTATGTATGTATGTATGTATGTATGTATGTATGTACGCATGTGTGTACATTGCAAACAAGACAGCTATGTGATGTGTGGGGTTTTTCTGCAAATCAGCATGGTGGTCGAGACTCTAGGATACGTGCATCATGCAGCATTCCGTCCTCAAGGCGCGACTGGGGAGTGTTCGAAGAATCTCTGCACTTTGAGCTTCTTGCTGCTTGAGCCCCTGTTTCATGGGCATCCGACTGGAAATGGAGATGAAGCTTCCGTTCACGTCGCTATTTCGCGCAGCGTCTCGCGTGAGCTGAGTATTCGCGTGGAGCCCTGCAATGTTCAAAGGCGTCCGGTCACGTGGATCGGTTCAACGACTTCATGGTTCGGATCTGATTCGCATTTTCAATTTCGTAGTGATGGCACTGGCACTGGCAATGATCGCTCTTGATCCATTCCGCAGCGTTGCCCTTCTGCTTATCTTGCCTGCTGTGCCCGCAGAGGTCAAAGATGTGTCCGATGAGTCCAAGTTTTTCAGAGCCGACAAGTTGCTCGAGGTTCTGTGTCTCGAGCCTTTGACCACTGATTGCACAGTCTCGCTCCTGACCTTTGAGGACGTCATGGACGAAAAGCTGAAGGCCGCCGACTTGACGGAAGCTCAGCATGTTGAGCTCGCGGCTCAGAAGCTAACGGCGGACGACAGTTGCAGCGTGCCTGTGAAATCAAACCAGGTACACCTCTGTGCGAAACCAGGCCGATGCGTACTCCCAGCAGGAGAGCCAGGGGCTGCGACCGTTTCGGCACCAGGTCGAAAAACGCTGGTTCAGCAGCTCCACTTAGAGTTGCGCTGTAGGGCGAAGAGATTCCAAAACTTCTAGGATTTACGGATTTTTTGCAAAGATCTGAAACACGGAAAAGTCTAACATGTTCGCGCTCGCTTTGTGTTCAAGTTGGCACGTGAGGGCCTGGAGTGGTGGAAGCCTGTATGCCCAAATTCAAAAATCTATTATGGTAGCCGCAGGTATCGGCTTCCAGGGTGCGTGAAACACTGTCGTATCACGGATTCCCCGCCCAGATCTGCAGTTCTTTGGACGGGGCCCCTGATCCGGTGCGCATCACGGCCTGATCCGTTCCAAATGATCCTAGTATATCATTTATTACCATGGGAAAATCTAGATTTTTGGGGGACCGTGGTGGAAGGGAGGGCTCCGGCACAGCAACGCCGAGCACTGCATGGAGGCCAAAACTCTATTAGGGCATGGATGCTTCGAGGAAGGGATGCAGTAGGAGTGGGCATCATGCTTAGTGCAGAGATGCTCCGCATGGTGACCGTCTTGGAGGGGGACTGCGTTCGCAAAAGCATCCATGCCCCGACCCTAATAAAATCCACCCCGACCACATCCTTTCTCCAGACCATCCCCAAATTTTGAAAACATCCATAGCGACTGCATCTGTTCGAAAGAGTGTCGGTGCCTCAACCATGAAAGCGTCCATGCATTGTCATGTTGCGGCATGATGCTTCGGGGAAGACCGTTGGAACATGAATACTCTGGAGAACAACAGATGAGCCGGAGACTTTCGCATTACTATCCTGCTTGGACCATGGACGCTTTGGGGAAGGGTTGTGTGCTCGGAGTGGGGGGCATCATGATTGGGAGCATCGACACTTTGGGCAGATGCGGCCAGAGTGGACATCATGGATGGGGCTCCATTCGCTCATACTCGTGCTTGGAGTCGTTCAAAAGGGGTTTGGGCACCTGGTGGGGTGCGGAAGTTTCGAGGAGCTGCACCAGATCTTTCAGAAGCCGGGCTTCCCAGTGTGCAGCAAGCCGTGCGGTGTGTTATGTGCCCGTGCGACAAACGGCCACCCGGTTGTCGCACAGGTTTGCAGCAACATGTTCCAGGTATCAGATCAAGTCGCCCGAGACTGGCAATGACTTAAGTGAGCCCTACGAGCCACCTAGCTGCGATTCCAAGGAGCCAAGCTTGAAGTTATCGGCTGTAAGGGTCAGCATTCCCGATGATCGACTTGTGATGCTGCAACGCAAGTCGTTTTGAGCGAGACCCTGCCACGAATGCCACGACATGTCCCAAGTCATGTCCGAGGTTCAACTTGATGTTTCCGACTCCTATTGGCCCAGGAGGCTACCTGCAGGCAGCTCCGGCCACAAAGCCTCGGTCATGCCTACAATCGTAGAAATTACAAAAGGAGATCTTGCGAAAGCTACAACTAGCTAGGAACACCTAGGAACGTTGACAGAACTCAAAGCTCAGACACTGACTTGTTCTGCGAAGCCTTGGTGAGGGCTACCTCAGGCCGGAAACTGCGCAGGCTGGAATGAGAATTTGCACGGGGAAAACTGCCACGCAGTGCAACTGTCTTAGTTGCGTCAATGGGAGGGCATCTTCTTGAACTACAAGTTCTGCTTGGAGCAGAACTCAAACCGGCTCCCGTTTGGCGTGGCGCAGGTGCTGAGGGTCGTGCTTGACGCCCCAAACCGGGGAATAAATAGAACAAACTAGTTTAGGCAGGGCCGTGGCAGCAGCCATCATGTTTCGATTATGTTGATCGAAGTGAAGAGTCAGACTGCGCTGTTTTGCGATTCTGCATGTTTCACAAGGTGGGGCGGTCTTTCCGCAACGAAATCGCACCTCGGGCAGGTCGCACCTCGTGTCCAGACTCCAGAATAGGCATGTAGTACTTGAACCTGAACTGGGCATATTCGCATATCTGTAACTTGACTCATGATCCGTCTAAGCTGGCAGCTGTGCACTCAATTGCCAGGGCTGACAAGACAAAGGGAGTTCACTCAAGCGGAGATCGAGTACTTCGTGAATCCCAAAAACAAGGCAGGCCGAAAAGTTGCAGCGAGATCAAGCCGGGTTTATGAGGGTCCAGAATCAGCGGCACTTGCGACTTTATGAGGCTTCGTTCAAGGCAGGGATGTCAGGCTGTGTTTATGTTGTGGTCTTGTAGCTTCACTGCTTTGCTTAGCTTAGTACCTCTACTGACTTCGTGTACTTAGATTGCCTGTTTCACTTTGGTGACAGGGGTGCAGGGAGGGTCGAGTGCATCTAGCCGGACGTGCAGCTAATCCTGCGAAATATCTGTTCTCACACAGATTTGTCGTCATATTCCACAAAAAAATACGTTCATGTAGAGGTATATAGGGATATACATAACATTGTGTGAGAAAGGAAGCAGTCAAAGGCAAACTCAGCCTGAATTACATGCATTCGCTGACAACGGCCCTGTGAGGCAAGCAGAATTTGTAAGTTCAGAGCCTTCATGACACGTAGCCGCCATGGCGGAGACGCTACTTGCGCTAGCTAGTACATCTCGACAAAACTGTGGACATGAATGCTAAGTGTTGCTGTTCGGTGTACCATTGTGGTCGCGAGCAACTAGTAACCCAATCATCATTGGCATGCTTACATTTATTGCGGCAGCAACAACGCAACGACGCATGTGGTCATGCGACAGTCCTTAGCCCTGGTGGCTTCAGATCTGGGTTATTTCGGACGATTATGTCAGTGTTAACGTAGCGAGTGCGAGCAGGCACATCCCAAGTTCAAGATGGTCAAGGACACCGCCACCTCCCCGGTGTTCCGAACTTCGGTCGCCGGCAGGGACAATTCAGCAGGGCTCATTGGCGGCCCTACTCGTTCCAGAATCACATTTGTTAATGGCTTCATGGTGGTGGGCCGCTTTTGCATCGAGGTCCTGACCCTCTTCCACTCAGATGCGCAGCTCTCAGCGCAGGCTCATCCCAAGAATCCGGGCAGTTTCCAAGCCCCGGCTCAGCTCAGCATGCCTGCAGCTACGAGACCCGTCGGTCTTCCGTACTGCTATTGACAGGAGCCTGTCAAAATGGCGGCGGGCGAGGCTGTCAGCCAAGTGCTCAGGGAGTGGAACTTAAAGAGCTTGCAAAGTGCCGAGCCGCTTCTCCAAGCAAGGCCGTGGCCTTATCAACAACGAGACCCTCGCCTTCTTCATTGTGAGGTCAGGAGGGTCTCCCGTCGTACCCGGTACCGGTGCTGATGAAGTAAGGGGCAACTGCGACGCATCACGAGCATCCATAAGTCAGGAGACAACGGACAGATTCCCCGAAGGAAGGGCAGTAACTAGCTAGCACGGTACAACACATGAGTGAAGGGTAAGTCTTAGTTACAACTTCGACGCCTTGAAGCCTGGACTATGAAAAGTTGTTTGTGAGGACATATCAGTTTCTCCTGCACATCGGTCTGGATCAGGACAGGGCCGTGTCTCCGGTCTTGCTATTCACGGGCTTTGTTTGCAGGCCTTTGTTCGATTCCGGCAGCACTTGCCGACAGAGATGGCGCACTATGCCTGCGACTGCTGGGACGCGGAGATATTCGGTTCGTATGGGAAGCTTGGATTGCATTTCTCATGAGGTTGATCAGTCGGTGAACATGCCAGCGTCTGCGGAAGTTTTTGTACCCCCCGCCTGCGTCAGCTGCACGCCACGCAACGGATAGATTTGCCCCGTATCTACATGTCATGTGGTATTTCGCGACTGCTATGAGCACGTGTTTCAGGGCTGGTTGCGTTGAAAGCTTCTTGATACTGTATGTGCCAAGACTGGTATTGATGGCCTTTCAGCTGAGGTGGCTGGAGTGTGTTGGCATTGCCGACAGGTCTGCGTTTGACCTAAACGCTCATGCTCGGGTGCTGCTCTCAGGGTGGAAGGTCCTGTGCCGTAATGGTGTATGTTCGCTCAATTTGTGCATGAGTTCTGTCACTCAGGCTGCTAAATGTGACTTGCAGTACAAGGAATCGCTGGAGAAGCCGATTGAGAGGGAGGTCCTGGCACTCACGAAGGCCTCGCCGACCGAGCCCTTGCATCTCAAGCGATGTTGTAAGGAGAGCTAACAAGAGCACGGGTGTACATGTGCCTCGTTGCCAGAAATCTGGCGTGGACATCATGAAGGCCTTCAAAAAGGATGGACGCGCAGTGAAGGAGACTCAGGGATGCACAGACCGGGGGGGACCCCGAGCCCTGTGCCCGGAAAGACCTCATTTGGTCACGAGGAGTTTATAGAGAAACTCCCACAAGAGGAGATTGCCAGGCTCTTAAAACATCTTCTAGTTGAATTCAGCCAGCTCGTGAATCTTTGCATAAAGTCAGCCTCAGTCTGCCAAATTCTGGTGTCTGCAGTGGCAGCTCGTTTCTGGAGCGCCGCCAGCTGAAAGCGCTCTGATCTGCCACTCCGAGGAATGCATCACAAAGCAGCTGGAGGGAGGAAAAGCAGATGTGCAGGTGCCGCCACATGTCAGCCCACGAGCATCCACAGGTCTGGCCAAGTGACCTTTGTGATGCTTGCATCGAGTCAGATGCACCGCAGTTTCAATATGCTCCAACTCAATGCGACTGCACCAGAGTGCAGCAGCGACAGTCGACGGATGTCCTGATGTTGCCTCACTGCCGGAGCTCAAGCTGTGAACAGGTGGAGGGTTCATCATTCACATTGACCAAAGAGCTGGCGGTCTTTGAGCGAAAGGCACCCGGTCGACGAGCGAATTCTAGGCTCACTATGCTGCTGACTCGAAATCAGATGGAGAAGCAGACGGTCAACGCTTTCACACCTGGGGTTATCGAACCTTCATTTGGAACCAAACTCAGAGTGCTTGAAGCCCCAGCTCTTTGCGCGACAGAGAGCAATCCACAGGGCCGCACATCCAAGGCATTGACCGCATCTTTGCGTCTCTGCTCGAGCACGTCTACTACGCCCGTCCGAAGGATCCACAAAGAAGTGAGTGCAGTGTACTTTCACTGCGTTTTCGTCGCAATTACGCAGGAGGAGGCAGGAGACGACAAGGACAAGCAGACGCGTGGTGTTTTGGCTTTCGCTCCATCCTCCGCACCATACAAGTGTGCCGGGCATGTTTCCGAGATCTTCCTACGAGTCACGGGTGCTTTTATGGTCGCACCCATTCATACCCTTCCTGGCAGGTGTGTCATTCTACCACTGGACCAGCGGATTGCCCGTGATGAGCGCTATCTGAACATGATGGATGCTGGCTCCTCAGCTCCCAGTCGACGCAAGCAAAAGACTTGCTTGCGCCGATTCGCCAGGCATTTCAGCTAGAGCTCGTTGAGCTGGGCTTGTGCGACGCTCAGCCGTATCCTTGGGCCTTGGGCCTTCTCAATGACGGCAGAAATACCCATCAAGAGGCAAAGCCAAGGGCTCCACATCCGCTCGATGTGGGCCCTCCGCGGTACCACTACTTGTGCGCTATCCACCCTGTGGCCTTTTTCTCTTTCCTTTTGTTCTGCTACGGCAAGGATTCTCGGTCCTGGTTGTTCTGTCCATTCCGGCTGTTTCAATGGGCTTGGTGTTCGGCTCTGGTCTCCTGGGCCAGGGTGTGCATTGCCCAACAGCCCAGGACCTGCAGGAGACGAGCTTAGGCAAAGAGAGTCACAACCCTGTTCAAGCTGCAAGCGAGGTCGTTCACTCTTGATGAGAGCAATGCCACCATCGGAAAAAGGCCTCCCCTCGTTGTATCATCGGTCATGCACCTGCAAGCGAGAAAGACTCGCTGCACCTTCAATCGAGGTACTCTCGGAACGATGAGCTCGGAATTCCATACGCTGTCACTTTTGATTTCGACACCTTGGAGGACCTACTGCTTGTAACACCTGGATCTGTTGGTCAAGTTTAATGCCATGTTGACGCTCGCAGCTGTGTACTGTGTGCACCACTTGCCCTTGTGTCTTGGATCCATTTGGGCTCAGCATTTGCAAGAAGCGGCACAACGCTGTTTGAGCGCAGTAGTCCAAGAGTGCACAGTGTACAGGGTGTAGCAACTTGACATGTCGCTGACGCAGAAAGATCTGGAAGATCTGGAATCTTCTTTGCAATGGTCTTTCACTCTCATGACATGGTGTACACGACCAAGGACCGAACTCCCCGACTGGCTAAGGCGATTACCAAAATTGAACTGCTGAAGCAGTTCTTCCAGGTCTGCAGTCCCTTTGGAGATTTGCATCCTTTTGCCTGCTGACAATCTTTCTGTAGCCTGTACCTGGAGCATGAGCATGAGTCAAGTCTGCCAGTCTTGGCAGGCAGAGCCACCAAAGGCCAAAGGCGAAGATTTGCTGGAACTCTGGGAGCAAATCTACGACGAGACCAGGTCGCAGCGAAGCAGCAACGGATGTGGCCCCTGCAAGCTTTGAGTAAGCCTTGAGATTCTGCCGTTCAGGAGACAGCCAGAAGCACGGTGGTTGAAACAGCGGCAGGGCTTTCGGACGACAGCAATGCCGCCCTCCCCTATGAGAAGCTCTATGCTATTGTGGGCCGGCCAGCCAGCCTTTGGCACACAGGCGAGTAGCAAAGTGCAAAATTGGTCGCAACTGTGAGGCGACGGCGGCCATTGGAAGTGGCCGCGCATCTGGAGGCGATTTGACGAGCTCGAACGACGAGGCCCCGCCGGAGCAGAATGCAGCAGAATGCAAGATGCGGATGCGGGCGGATGCTTTCTGCAGGAGCCGCCTACCGAGAAGGAGAGCCCACGAACTTCGGCCTGCCGAATCCAAACCCCGACATAGAGCCGCAGCCGCTTGGATTTGAAGTCCAGAAGCGTCTTTAGTTGGGAAGACGCGACCTGTAGGACGGTCCTCGTCGTGGGTGGTGGCCCAGTTGGACTGCGACTGGCCATCGAGCTGAAGCTGGGAGGTCACCATGCAGCGGCCCCAGCAGCGTGAAGGCAGAAGATGCCTCGGCACGTCCCCCTTTGATCGCAGGTAACCGTCTTCGAAAAGCGGCGCGAGGTGCGGGACGAAAGCGGGCAGTTGCAGCAACTTGGGTTCACCAATCGAAGCACGGCTGAACCGTGAAATCTTGTGTGGCTCCTGAATGATTTCTATCACTGTTGCTTAGGAATCAACCGGCCGCACGTCTTCAACTTCCTGCGGAACGACCTCTGAGCTGCATGTTGCGTCGAAAGTCCATAGAGCAATACGGTCAGATAGGTCAGGTCCTTAGAGTTATCCGACGGGACCCAAAAGATCACAGAGTTGACAGGCTGCTTCTGGGCAGGCACAGAGGCAGTCTGCAAGCGAGCGGGAGGAAGCTAGGAGTCGCTAGCAGTGTCCGTGCTACACCGCTGGAGCATCCCACTGTGGCGTGGTTTACATTTCACCAGCCTTGTCACCTCGTTACCTTCGTCTCCGTCTCTGTCTCTGTCTCTCTCTCTATCTCTCTCTCTCGAAAGCACAGAGGGGTCCACAATCATCAGGACCTGCCCGCAACCCACTGGGTAATTTACCGTAGCCAGTGGGTGGACTATAACATTGACATGAAGAACTGGCGAATCATCGCTACAGACTGCACTAGACTATTCTGTGCATGGCCAACCGTTACTGTACGGATTGTGGACTCGGTTTGGTGAGCTTGCCCGTCCCCACGTAGAAGGGGAAGCAATATAACAAGAAATACAGTACAGTTTAGTGACTCAGGTCAGTGGCAGTGGGCAAGAAAGTCACTTAATGAATGCCGCGAATGTTTGTGTTAAGCGAAGACGGGATGGTGATGATCATGTGCTTGAGTGCAATGGCCACCCACACAGCCTTTGGACACAGCTGTGCTTTGTAGCTTCACTGCAATCATCATCGCTCCCAGGCGGTTTCACCCCGCAGCAAAGACTCGCATCAAGGGCAGAAATGAGCCAAGGACCTGGACCGGCTGAATGGCCGGGATTTCATGTCTTCCAAGATCCTCGGCATTCCTCGGCAGTTCCGAGTGTGCTCTGCACAGGGGTCACATCAAACATCGAAGCAGCACACGTGTTCAACGTGAGAGCGAGGATGTGCTATCCGGTTTTTACGCAAGCAGATACATCCTCGATTGGCATCGACGATTCTTGAATGCATTGAAGGAGTAGAGGGATGAAACAGCTTTCCGAAAGGGCCCTCACACAGCCGAGTGATGACTGCCTGTTGCAGTAGAGCGCCTTACATGACACCTCGCTCGTCAGAGTCAAAGAACAACTGTGCATGAGTGCAACCGAGCATCTCCACTCTCACAACAATCCTCCCAGGAACTTCAGCTGCTCTTGCTCAAGAACGCCCTGCTTTTGGGTGTTGACTTCCGCATGGGTATGTCGTACGAGGACGGTTTTCGGACCGGAGCTGCGCGTGTAGAATTGGGCACAGCGAACAGCGAAGGATGCCGAGATTGTTCTGGATCCACGAACTCAGAAGCCACGGCCGCAGCCTCAGTTCCCGAAGTTAGAGGCTGCCTTTTCGATATGCTCGCACAATCCATCGCGAGCATTGCGTTCAGCGGAGGTGGAAAGTCAAGTTCACATGTGATGAAGCTCGGTACAAACTACATGTGCTTGAAACAGCAATGCAAGTGCGCTCCAAGTCAGCTCCATCCGAGGAGCAGGGATCCCGCAGCTACGCAGTTCCTCTCGGAGAAAATTTCCAAACCTTCGATGTCCTTATGGGCTGCGATGGTGCCCGCAGCCGTGTTCGAGAGTCGCAGAAGCAGATCTTCGGAGAGGCAAGGTGTGACTAAGTCAGGAGTTGCGTGAATATGGAAGCAGCAGGTCGACAAGCGCAACTTCAAAAAGATGATCGGCGTCGTGGCCAACGTCCAGAAAGTGTCGCGGCAGCGGCTCAAGGATGCTCTGATGCGTGTTCTGTTGCAGCGAGAGTTTCCATGGTGGTTGCTACTCAAGTTGCCGCTCGACCCAACACTAGAAACATCCCAAACCTCAGCAGAAATAATAATATCAGCAGCACTGGCAAGAGCAAAACCAGCTACAAGTCCAAGGATTACATCGCATCGAGTTGTGCTTAGTCGCATCAATTTAGTGTGCCCCTTCCGCATTCCACAAAGTGTTCAATTTAGCTGTCTTAATCCTTGCATCCATGTCTGATGTTGCAGGCGTTTACAGCTGCTAGTCCGTCAATCATGATTGCAGGTTGTGTTATAGCGAACTTTCAGGCTAATGGTTGTGCGTAGTGAAGAGAACTTACCTGAGATGACCTTGTTCGCTCCGTGGAGGGCAGCATACTCTTTATGCCCTGGCTGAATCTTGGCATCTCCCCCAAAAGCACAGCTCTTTCTTCCTAACCTCACGCAGTCCTGGGCCTCGCGCATACCTCCCACGAAGCAGTGTAGCATAGCCGCAGACCTTTCAACAAGCTGATTTCAAGCACGCTGGAGTACTTTTCACATGTGCTGCAGACGCCTCCAGTCCGTCTGCCCTCATTTTTTTCCTCCACGATCTTGCTGGGCCAGATGGAAATAGACTGCTGTGCCATCCGACTTCAAGGCATGTGCATGTCAGGTTTAGCCTCGCATGATCTCGCATGTATCCTCGTTTAAGTGTTAGGGCATGGATGCTCTGGCAAACGGAACCTGGTAAATGGGCATGGATGTTCTGACAAACGGGCGTGAGTTTGGGGCAGACTAAGGGGTGGACCATATAGTAGTAGTGTAGTGGTAGTAACCTGGTAGTGGTAGTAGTAGTAGTA